CTCTCCTTGCAACATGTCCAAAGTATGTCAGACGAAGCCCCAGAATCTTTGCCTCCAAGGAGTAGCCTGGTTTAACCCTCTCTAGGATGAATCTGTTTGTTTTCTTGGCAGTCCATGGAACATTCAACATTCTTCTCCAACACCACAGCTCAAAGGCGTCAATTCTCCTTCTGTCCTCCCTAGTCATTGTCCAGCTCTCTGATGCATAATAAGTGACTGCAAAGACCATGGTCTGTATCAGGCGCACCTTTGCCTCCAAAGAGACACTGTTGCTCTTGAGTACTTTAGAGAGGTCCCTAACAGCAGACTTTCCCATTGCAATACATTAAAGTAGTGATTTCACTCACCTTTCTACCTATTTCAAGTCTATTTAGGGGAAGACACACACAACTGACCCCCAAAATGTCAACTTAACTAAAAAGTCTCTGAAAGAAAATACTATGTACATTTGTGATGGTGGTGTTTGAACTTGTTGAGGACATGACCATGTGTGTATGTGTAAACACCAGAGTGCTCTTTGAGGGCAGGATGGTTAAACTTCATCTCTTATACTTTGGGCATGTTGATAGGAGGGTTAGTCCTTGGAAAAAGACATTATGCTTGGAAAGGTGGAGGGTCAGAGGAAAACCTTCAACAAAATGTACTAGCACAGCAACTTATCAATGAGCTCAAGTATATCAGATATGATGGAGGATGGCACAGGATAGGGCAAAATTCAGATCTGTTTTTCACAGGGTGGCTATGAGTTGTAGTCAACTTGATGGCACTGGGCAACAACAACCCCCCCACACACACACTCTAAGCCAAACTAAAAAAAACTAAACCCACTGTCATTGAGTTAATTACAACTACTAGTGAGTCTTCTTTGGATTTTCAAAGCCTGTTATAATGGGAGCACACTGACCCATTTTTTCTCCTGAGAAGAAGCTGGCAGATTCAAACTGCCGACTTTCAGTTAGTAATCCAACATATAATACACTATACTAGAGTTCCTAATATTCTAGAGCTGGACAATGATTAAGGATGACAGAAGAATTATTGATGCCTTTGAGTTGTGGTGCTGAAAAAGAGTATTGAACATACCAAGGACTGCCAAGAGAACAGGTCTGTCCTGGAGAGGTTGCTCCTTGGAGGCAAGGATTTTGAAACTCTGTCTCACATACTTTGGTCATGTTGCCAGGAGGGACTACTTCTTGGAAAAGAACATCATGCTTTGAAGGGTTGGGTGTCAGTGCAAGAGAGGAGAATCCTGAATGAGATGGATTGACATAGTGACTATAGCAATGGGGGCAGGTGTGGCAGAGACAGTGAGATTGGCTCAAGATGGGGCATTTTGAAACACTGTCTCACATACTTTGGTCATGTTGCCAGGAGGGACTACTTCTTGGAAAAGAACATCATGCTTTGAAGGGTTGGGTGTCAGTGCAGGAGAGGAGAATCCTGAATGAGATGGATTGACATAGTGACTATAGCAATGGGGGAAGGTGTGGCAGAGACAGTGAAATTGGCTCAAGATAGGGCATTTTGAAACACTGTCTCACATACTTTGGGCATGTTGCCAGGAGGGACCAGTGCTTAGAAAAGAACCTCAGGGAAGCTCTGGTGGCCTTGTGGCAAGAAAGCTGCACTGCAATCCCAGAGGCACACGGTTCGAATCCACCAGATGCAATTTCCTCCTGTACCAGTCAGATCTGATTAGATGATAAACACACAAAAAAATAATAAAAAAAAAAGAAAAGAACCTCATGCTTGGAAGGGTTGGGTGTCAGTGCAGGAGAGGAAAACCCTGGATGAGATGGACTGACATTGTGACTGTAGCAATGGGGACAGGTATGTCAAGGAAAATGAGATTGGGTCAAGACAGGGCAGGGCTCATAGTTATTGTTCATAGGGTCACTATATGTCAGAGTACTTGGTGGCACATAACAACAACACAGACTATGGTCTGCTCAAATTGGTAAAAGCCCGTAAGATTAAAAACCAAATCTGTTAAATCTGATCCAAATAGATTTAATAGGTGTTGAGTCTACTGCCACTCTTGCAAGCAGACACACTGTTTCTGTAACAATGTCAGTTGCAAGGAGAACAGGTAAATATTGCTACAGGAAGCTAAGACTGCATTTTTTATATTTAAATGCAAACTTAATTTTACCTCAGGACAGTGGCCATGTTATACAATTTCTTTACAATATCTAGTGTATCTCAGACACTAGAAAATACTTAAATTACAACTTAAACAGGAAAACAGAGGTTTGCTTCACAGTGGTTTAATATGAACAGAAGTTGAATATGACATTGTCTGACAGGAGAATGAACAATTTTCTGGAGGGGATAAAAGGCCCAAATCAGGATATACACACAGCAGAAATAGTACCTCAGACTCTCAGTACTTATATACAATGATAGAAGTAATCTTAAAAAATAAAATTAAAATCTGATAACAGAGGATACAAATTTAAAAGTGGTATAAAATCGGAAAAAGGAGTAGAGTTTCTCTGTATGGGCTGCTATCCTCTGGCATAGGCACAGGAGCTAAAGAGTTGAGCTGTCTCAGAGAACTTTTAAAATTTAGATAGGCTCCAAAGCCCATGTTTAAATTCATTCCTAATTCCTCAGTTCATGGTCATGTAAGAGGCAATTTTATCCCAAAGGCCTTGTATAGTCAGCTTTCATATACTTGGGCTATGCATCCACAAATTCAACAAATTACATGTCAAAAATACTGGTGGGGTAAAAGAGCAATTAAGTGATCTTTAAGTGAACTAAAAAGGCTCAGAGGGAGCAGTATGTGCTATTTACATATCATTTAATTGTATTATGTATTATACATAATCTAGAAATGACTTAAAAGTATACAGGAAAATATGCATAGTTTATACGCAAATACTAAGACATTTTAAATGAAAGTCAGGAAAGTTTCTAACCGCAAAAAGGTGTTTCAGCCCCTAAGTTTAGAAAATTCACACTCAGTAGCAATCCTTAGCTCAACTTTTGTAGAGAATGCTGGGGTTCCACAGGAAATAAATGCAGGCAGCTCAATAACCTATGATCAAACTGGAGGAAGCTCATGCCTTTGAGCTACACTCAACAGCTCAAAGTGCTTAAGAGAAGTCAGATACTGTGATTTGGTCATCTGCTTCTGCCCCATGATAGCAGTTAATGAGATGGAAAGAAAAGGGAGGAGAACAAAGGGAGTAGTGATGCCCTTCTCTGCCACTGAGAGGTACTTTGAAAGGTATTTACTCTCACCCTAGAGGAAGTTACTTGGCAATGGTGAGTTATTCTTACTCCTCAAACCATCAAACCCACACATCTAACCCACAGAGTCCCAAGAGCTCAGGATGAGAGAACTGCTGGTCCACTCAGCTTTACCTGTAAGAATTGGTAGCCAGAGTCGAGAGCAACAAAGTGAGAGGGCTCAGGTAACAAGAGCCACCTTATTACTCTATGGTTTCATTCTAGCCCTAAAGCAGTCATGATGTGTCAAAAAAACCCAGACATCCTGCACCCCACAAAAGACTGCTTAGATTGTAGGGGGACTGCTATTATGAAATGCAACAAGGGCAAAGGAAATGCTTTTTAAAAAACTAGGAATGCAACAAGGGTAAAATAAATTTTTAAGCAAACTGAGAATTTGCATGGGCAAAAGTTGGAGGATAGATAATATATATAACAACAACAAAATGATAGCCTTGGAAATCTTATGGGGAGGTTCTACTCATATAGTTGCTATGAGTCAGAATTGACTCAATAGCAATGGGCTTGGGGTTTAGGAGGAAGAGTTTGTTTTTAACTGGCAAGAATAATTCCATCACCGAAATTTAGAAAAACAAAATGAAGAAAACATTAATTTTTTAATATTAAGCCAATGTTAAGTTTGAAAAAAATAAAACTAGGGAGCTGGTCTAGAGAAACCAAGAAAAGCTTTTCAGTCTATTCCATCATCCCAAAAAGGACAAGATACATGCAAGTAGGAAAGTCAGGTTTGGAGGGTTTTTTTGCCCCCTGTTCAGTGTTCTTGGTTAAACCTAAGAGTAGAACAATCCCCTGGACTAGCAGCATCAGTATATATCCAATACCTCACCATAAAACCCTTCCACCTTTACTACCAATGATAGCTTTGGAAATGTAAATGCCCAAGAAATTGCTTTCTAGTGCAATCCTCTCCACCCTACCATCACTCAGACCCCAAACAAAGAGCATGTCCCACCTCTCCTCACAGAAGAGCAAACTATCAGAGTTCCCATGGTATAGTCAGGTACCAAGGAACACAATGTTAGATCGTCTACCAAGTCAAGGGATATACAGCCAACTTTAGATGAAGAAAGAGAGAGGCTTAGTGTAAAACTCAATGTCACTTCAGCAGGAAGGCAGAAGATCAGTGATGAGAGGGGTTCCTACTGGCGCACCTTCCCAGGGACGTAATTCCTGTCAATGGCCTCCTCCTGCAGGAACATGTGTAGGCAGCGTTCGTTCTGAGCTAGTGGGTGCCCAGCAATTCTATAAAGAAATCAAGATGGATACAATTAGTATTTGGGATCAAAGAGAATTAGTAGGTGGATAAGGGTGCAGACAGGGAGGAACTATCAGACCTGATAGTTGAGCCAGTGGAGAACAGCAGTAGGACACCAAGAGAACTGTAATATTGCAGAGGGGAGGGGATATAGTGAAACACGATAAAGTGCTTTTTTAGATCCAAGGTACAGATCAGAATTCCCCTCAAACAGATAGTTTTACTGCCAAATCAGGTCACAACACATCAGCATCACATAATAGTACTTATCAAAGAAAAATAAACAAAACTTCTAAAAAAGACCATGATAGCAAAAGTACAAAAGGCAAAAGCCCAGGAACTGCACTTACTTGTTTATAAACTGTTCAAGGCCCTGCCTCCTTTCTTCAATGAAGGACTCCTCAAAGATCCCTTCGTCTCCTCGGAAAGGAAGCTGCCGCTTCAATGCTTTCCCTGGTAGTGGTGGAACTACAATCTACAGGAGCGCAGAGTATCAGCCAAATGACAGAGGAGCAGAGAAAGAATGAGATCAGATGGTAAAGCACCAAATACCTTATTTCCTGTTAGGCAAAAGACCCACCTTGTCCCTAAAAACTAAAACTTTAAGTAAGAAGGACGATCACAAGTAAAAACTAAGATCATATGCATAGCCAGGTCAGTAATAAATCCAACTCATCTTTGTGAGTTTATCATCAACAATACCAGCTCAGAAAAAAGAAAATAAACTCCAAATATGCCTTACTTTCTTTATAATGTCGTTATGTGCCATTGAGTCATGACTCTATCAACAATAGATCTGAACCCTGTCCTATCCTGCATCATCCTCACCATCTTTGACATACTTGAGCTGATTGTTGTAGTCACTGTGTCAATCCATCTCATTAAGGGTCTTCCTCTCTTTTGTTGACCTTCCTCATTTCCAAGCATGATGTCTCTTTCCAAGGAATAGCCGCCCCCAACAACATGCCCAAAGTATGTGAGACAAAGAGGTTTCACCATCCTTGAATCTAAGGAACACTCTGGCTGTACTTTCTCCAAGGCATATATATATTTTTTTGACAGTCCATGGGATATTTAGCACTCTTCTCTAACATCACAAATCACGGGTATCGAGTCTTCGTCATCCTAATTCACTGTCCAGATCTCTGATATGTAACAAGTGACTGGAAAAACCATGACTTGAAGTAGGTACATCTTAGTCTCTAAATTTACATTACTGCTCTTCAGGACTTTGGAGAGGCACCTGATTTGCCCAGTGCTATATATCTCCTGCTGGTACCAAGAGTGTTGATTGTGGATCCAAGTAAAATGAAATTGTTGACAATTTTAATCTGTTCTCCATCTATCATGAAATTGTCTATTGGCTCAGTGGTGAGGATTTTAGTTTTTTTTATGTTGACATGTAATCCATATTGAAAGCTATAGTCCTTGATATTCTGCAGCAAGCCTCTCAAGTGCTCCTTGCTTTCGCAAGCAAGGTTGTGTCATTTGCATAACTCGGATTATTGATGCATCTTCCTCTAATCCTCATGCCACACTCCTGTTCATAAAGTCCAGCTTCTCAAATGACTTACTCGGTATACAGATTGAATAGGAACAGGGAAAGTATACGGCCCTGATGCACACCTATCTTGATCTTAAACTATGTAGTGTTCCCTTGCTATGTTTAGACAACAGCTTCCTGGTCTAGATTTCATATAAGCATAATTAAGTGTTCTAGAATTCCCATTCTTCTCAATCTTAGCTGTAGTTTGTTATGATCCACACAGTCATATGTCTTCTTTTCTTAACAATACTATCTAAGAAAATAATTATTAAAAAAGTATTCTTAGAGAAAACTGAACAGTAGGAGAAAATAAATTGCTTCTATTTAGCAAAAAAAAATATTCTTAACAATACCATCCAAGGATTAAGATATCTCTTTCCTGATAGTGTGACTTTTTAGCATGTACAGGAATTATGCTTTATTACTTTACTAGCCACTAAGACAAGTTTTATACATACATGTTATATATTAAGAGAAAGAGAGTGGGGAAGGGAGAAAGAGAGATTTATATCTTCCCTCCCCCAATTTGTCCTGAATGTACCACTTTCAAGATCCAAAAGGTATTCCTAGGATGTAATATACTGGAATTTGGTAGATAAGAGAGTTGTTATTGTTGTTAAGTGCCGTGACTCATAGATGACTCATAGTGACCCTATGAATGAAAGAACACTTGTATAACTTTCATCGTTTCTCCAGGTTCATAGAGTTTCCGGAGGCAAGCTATTTCAGAAGTGGATGCCACTCCTGCTTCCAAAGATAAGAGAGTAATCACTCTATTTATTACCCAATTAAAAATTTGTAGATTTTTATATCATTATTATTCTCTTTCAGCCTATATTTATCTCCTACTCCTGCCCAAGGATACCATACAAAAAACAGGCCATACCTTACTATCTCGTTCCAGTTCATTTTTCAGCCACTCAAAATCACTGTAGCGTCGCCGTACACAAGATTCCTTCAGTTTAAAGATAGGTAGGTTTGTCTACAGGGAAGGAAGAATAAAAGAAGAGAGGTGGTAGATAGCCATCTGTCAGAACCGCTTGGATATATTTTAAAGTAGTAGTTCTTATAAAACATGTTCCTTGTAGCCCTTTAAAAACACCACTGGGTGAATACCAACACTTACCACAGTCAGACTTGTCACAGTTGTTGATTAGGAGTACCTTGCTGTTTGAAATTTTTCCAACAAATAAACTTGAAGTGTGTAAAAAATGTACACACAAGGATTTTCATAATACTTTATTTTTATAATAAAAAGAAACTGCACTAATAGGGAATTGACGAAATAAGTTATGGCATACCTGTATATTAGAACACTATGTTGTGTTGTTGTTATGTGCCGTCGAGTCGCTTGTGACTCAAAGCAACCCTATATACAACAGCTCTAAACTCTGCTCTGTCCTGTGCCAATCTCATTGTCTCCAACACACTCATCCCGATTGCCCCAGTCACCGAATCAATCCACCTCCCAGAGGGCCTTCCCCTCCTGCGCCTGCCCTCCACCCTCCCAAGCATGCTGCCCTTTTCCAAGGACCAGTCTCTCCTTACAACATGACCAAATTATGTCAGATGAAGCCTCAGAATCCTTGCCTCCAAGGAGCATTCTGGCTTCACCCTCTACAGGACAAACCTGTTTGTTTTCCTAGCAGTCCATGGTACATTCAATACTCTTCTCCAGCACCACAGCTCAAAGGCATCAATTCACCTTCTATCCTCCTTAGTCACTGTCCAACTCTCTGATGCATAACAAGTGATTACGAAGACCATGGCCTGTACCAGACGCACCTTAGTCTCCAGAGACACACCGATGCTCTTCAGTACTTTAGAGAGGTCCCTAATAGCAGATTTTCCCATCACAATACATCTTTTAATTTTCTGGCTGCTGGTGCAAAGAGTGTTGATTGTGGAGCCAAGCAGACTAAAGCTGTAAACAATCTCAATCTATTCACCATCCATCCTGATGCTGCCAATTGGTCCAGCGGTAAGAATCTTTGTCTTCTTGACATTGAGTCTCAATCCATATTGAAGGCTGCAGTCCTTGACCCTCAGCAGCAGATGCTTCAGGTCCTCCTCAGTTTCAACAAGCACAGCATGGTTGTATCATCTGCATAACGCAGATTGTTGATAGATCTTCTACCAATCCTGATGCCACATTTCTCCTCATAGAGCCCAGCCTCCAAATGTGAAAAACATGAAAGATTTGCATATTGGTATAGAAAGGCATTAAATGGTAAATTCATGATAAAGCTAAGTATACATACCTTGCTCAAATTTATGCTCAAACAGGATGTATATATTTATGAATAAAATATTTATGAAAGGATATTGGAAAGTGATTGACTAGAGAGTAAGACTGGATGATGAGAATAGGTAGGAGGGTCACATTTTTATTTATACTATTTGAATTTATCATATGTATGTAATACATTTTCAAACTAACTTAAATTCATTTCCCGGAAAGAATAATAGAGAAGTACCTCCAAAGTATGATTTCCTCTGTTTATTTTTGTTCAAATAGGCTCCTTTCAAGTCTCAGTCAAGTCTATGAACTTCATCTAGGAATACTTCTGTGAAAAAAACAGCTCAATTTCTTGATTTCTCTCCCCTCTGAACTTCTATGACACCTATAATTTACTACTGTTTTACACACTATTGTTTTATGAATCATTTAAATTTGGTCTACTCACTTAATCTTCAATTCATTAACATCATGAACCATGATTACTCTGTTGTTGTTATGTGGCATCAAATCACCTGCAATTCATGGCAACCCTATGTATAATAGCTCTAAACCTTGACCTAACCTGAGCCAATCTCTGACACACCTACCCTCATTACTCCAGTTACTGTGTCAATCCATCTCATCTAGGGTCTTCCTCTCCTGTGCTATCCCTCCACCCTTTCAAGCATGATATCCTTCTCCAAAGACTGGTCCTTCCCAGCAACATGACCAAAGTATGTGAGACAGAGCTTCTAAACCTTGCCTCTGAGGAACAACCTGATTTTACCCTCTCCAGGATAGACCTGTTTATTCTCTTAGCAGTCCTTATTATGTTCAATATTCTTCTCCAGCACCACAACTCAAAGGTATCAATTCTTCTATCATCCTTAATCATTGTCCAATTCTCTGACGCATAGCAAGTTATTGCAAAGACACGACATGAATTAGGCACACCTTATTTTTTTTTTTTTTAGATGTAAGGAATTAATGGAGGTAGGGAAGACTGAGGCAGTACCACCCAGGGTGTTTGGTTCCTGGGGGTAGGTCCAATTACAGCAAAAAAACAGGGAAATGAGGATGTGGGCAGATAGCAGATTTGGTCTTGAACTTGGGAGATGGGAAAGTGATGCTCCCTGAGCCTCAGGAATGGGGAGCAACAGAAAGAAAGTCATATCTGAAGGGGGGCCTGAGGACCCAGGATGAGGAGGGAAGCAGCTTCCCACCCCTCAGTGCTGAGGAAAAGGCACTTGGCTCAGTCTCTTGCCTGCATCCCATCCATGAAGTAGATGGGGGGTCCTGAAGCCACTCCTGGTTGAGTTTCTGGAAAAAGCCAAACTCATAAGTGCTGATCATGATGGTAAAGGAGGGGGTGGTCTTGATGATCTTTGGGAGGAAGCCCACAAAGAGTCCCTTGTCCCTGACTCGGCTCAGATCCTTCGCAGCAGCAGCAGCCAAGTAGAGTCCACACATGGAGACCTCTCTCTCATGGCCTCCACTGCTCCCAGCTGGACCTGGCTCTGTCTTCATCACATCAAAAGGCAGTCAGGATGGCTGCCACTATCCCTGAGATGCCACCAGCCATGAAGCTGATGCCCACAGATGTCTAGTCTTTTGGCCTGAACCCATTTAGCCAGCTCTTCACCAACTCATAGTTGAACCAATATAGAGTTGAAAAGGGCACATCCCAAAGGGCAGTGGGCCCCTAGCCCAGCCACAGAGAGCACCAACCTCCCTGAGCCACTGCAGCCTGGACAAAGGCACCCATCTCCTGGTACGACATATCCTGAGCTTCCAGCTTTATCCGCACCAGCTCAAGGGAGCTGATCATAGTCACTGTGCCCAAATGGGACAGAGCACCAGCCACCATAGAGGTCAGAGATCAAAAGGAAGGTCTTGAGTTGGTCATAGGCTGTGCAGTAAATAGCAGTGGTTGGCACAGTAACCACCAGGGTGGCTGGGAAGCCAATCCACAAGGTCCTGTGCCCTCAAGCCTCACAATCTTTACAAAAGCACCCATGGTACCAATGAAGCAAGTGCGATCCTGAAACCAGGTGGCACAGCAGGCCCCATTTGGGCACAGGTATACTGGCTCCAGGACTCCATTGCAGGACAGGAAGCACTTCCCAGCAGGTTGGAGAGGGGATGACAGTTTGGTGTAGGCGATGCTCCACACTTCTAGAGGGAAGTATTGGTTCATTGGCTCCTGAGAGGTGCTGGGACTGCAGTCACACCTTCATGTCTAGGGGTGTGATAAAGAGAGAGGTGGCTGTCGCCTCAGGGCCTAAAGTCACCATATGCTGGAGGAGGCTAATACCCCGAGGGTTTTGGTCAGCCATTTTGAAGTTTTGATCCTGTTTCTAGGCTGGTACTCATGCGGCACGGGGCCCAGGGCCCGGCGAACCCACAGCAGCTCCACAGCCCCTGCACAGACCTGTGCATTCACCTTGCTGAATAAGGAACACTATAGTTTCCAGAAGAACATAGTGGTTTTTCAGCTCTCTGAAGAGGTCCCAGAAAGCAGATTTTTCTAATGTAATTAATCTTTTTCTTTCCTAACTGCTGGTAACAAGAATGTTGACGGTGGAACCATGCAAGTTGAAATTAACAATCTCAATCTCTTCTCCATCTATCATGATGCTGCCAATGGCCAAGTGATGATAATGTTGAGCATCCATATTAAAGACTTGACCATCTGCAGCAAACGCCTTAGGATCTCCTCAGTTTCGGCAAGCAAGTTTGTGTCATCTACATAACACAGGTTGTTGATGAGTCTAACTCCAATCCTGATGCCACATTCCTCCTCAAAATGTCCAGTCTCCCAAATGATCTGTTCTGCACATAGATTAAAAAGGTATAGAGGTAGGATGCATCCCTGAACCATGCAGTGTTTCCTTGCTCTGTTCTGACGACTGCTTTCTGGTCCAAGTATTGGTTTCATACGAGCACAATTAAGTGTTCCGAGATTCTCATTCTTCTCAAGATTAGTCACAATTTGCTGTGATCCACACGGTCAAATGTCTTTGCATGGCACTCTGCTTTCAGTTAAGACCCATCTAACATCAGCTATAATGTCCCTAGTCCCATGGCCTCTCCTAAATCGAGCTTGCACATCTCTGTATTATATTGTTGCTGATGTATTGTTCCAGTCATTTTTGGATAATCTTCAGCAAGATCTTACTTGTATGTGATATTAATGATAATTAATTGTGATATTCATCATGTGATATTAATCTGATAATTTCCACATTATGTCAGATCCCCTTTTTAAAGAATAGGAATGAATATGGATCTCTTCCAGTCAGTTGGACAGGTAGTTGTCTTCCACATTTCTTAGAACAACCTGGTGAGCTCATCCAAGGCTTCATCTATTTGCTGAAATATGTCAATTGGTATTCCACCAATTTCTGGGACCTTGTTCATTGCCAAGTCCTTCAGAGCAGCTTGAAAATCTTCCTTCATCACTACTGCCTCTTGGTCATATGCTGTTTCATGAAAATCTTCTGTGTCAGCCAATTCTTTTCAGTACAGTCACTCTGTGTACTTCTTCCATCTTCTTTTAATGCTTCCTGGATCATTCAATATTCTAAACATTGCACTATATCACCGAGAAGCCAAAGAAATCAAGAAGTTAAGGAGTGGGAGCTCTGGTGGTTCAGTGGCAAAAAGCTGTGCTGCAATCCTGAATGGGCATGGTTCAAGTCCATCAGATGCTCTGCTGGAGAAGGATGGGCAGTCTCCTCCTGTGCTACTAGGATCTGACT